GTTGGAACGAAGTTACGGAAAGTTAATTAACAAACGGAGACGTAACATTATTCAAAAAAAAAATTTCTGAAAATGCCAAATTTTCTCCTTGCTTCTCCTGATATTTTTATATGTGTTTACAATTATTTATATTAAGAAAGTTTCAGCCCTCCAGTGGCACAGTGTTATGTCTGCGGACTTATACTGCTAGAAACCGGGTTTCGATACCGTGGTGGGCACAGAACAGATAACCTTTTGTGTAGCTTTGTGCTTAATAATAAACAACTACATAGAAAGTTTTAAGCATATCAAGTTTATAAAAAAGTTTGCTTGTTTTCACGGCAAAGGCACATTGGGCTTTCTGCTAGCTGTGTCCACCGCGATATATTGAACCCCGGATTACTCTGTTGTAAATCCGTAAAATCAACATCGGGGGACCTCAAACAGTTATTAATAAAAATTATTACATGAAAATAAAATGCTGATAATTCAGTAATCTTTCTTTCAATCCCTTGAAAAAAGTGGGAGGAAAGTTTCTTCCGGATCAATTTTGTGCATTAAGCTCGTTATAATGTGTTTCAACTTGCCCCTAAAAACAGTAATCATCAATACTGTTGCGTCAGCGAGGTCACGTGACTAGTGTCACGCCCCCTGCTTTCTGGAAATATCTGGTACCTTCGTGAATTGTCGGGAGATTACTAGTTATAGGGTAGTCTGGTATATGTAAGAGGGTGACAACGTGACGGAACAGTGTGTGTAGGTAATGAGTAATTGAACTTCAGTCAGAGAGAGATGTATTGTTGAAGTAGAGCTCGTGAGACGTGAACTATAGTTTGTTATAGCGCAACTGTTGAAGTTGAGTGTATCGGTAAAGTTGTATTCGGAAAGAATAAACCAGTTTTATTAAGTAAGGACTTGTGTCGCTAAAGTTTCGTGGGAATGAAATTACGGAAAGTTAATTAACAAACGGAGACGTCACAATACAATTCTTGGAATAGGCATTTTGCGTACTTTCTATGGGTTTTAGTCTCTCTTTTTTTAACTTTCTCCTGCTTTCATTGATGGATGTGCACTACTTCTAATGCAGGCTTGCTTTTCGCATAAAACCATGTAGGTATCCTATGTACAACTATCCCTAATTATGAACTGACATATAAGAGGGAAGGCAAACTAGTGAGTGGGGAACAACAATCATCGCCAACTCTTGTCTGACCAAATAGTGAAGTTTGACCTTTACTCTTACAGTACACCCACAGCTCCAAAGCGCATAGCATGTTATTGCGGCAAGGGGACGTAAATTATGATTCTTGGATTCACATTCTGACTATGCCAAGCATGAATGCTCATGAGTATATTTAAGTTCTGTAGTTCCAGTACATTGACAGTGATGCCGTTTCCCTCTCTATCATTTAACAAACTATCAGTGATTCTTGCCACTATTTATTCTGGATTAATCTGAAAAGAACACCCCTCAAGCTTAATTCATTCCATTGTTTCTGACATGATTCATATTTCAGTTTTCGGTTTGATTATATCCTCTAAGCAATGGTTTTTGAGCATTGAGGTCACTTCATTCTAATGTGTATCTAACTGTTCTGGAGGTAACATTCACATTTGTACTTATAGTTATTGTCAAAAGCTTTGCTAGATTGTCGCGTATCGCCTCAATTACATAACATCACCTTTAAAATGTTTGAGCTTTCCACCTCGACCGGTTCTATTATCAACAGTTCTAGTTTTGCATGGCCTCTTCAGAGCTTCCATACAGCTCTTACCGAAATATGAAATTTTGCCTCAGCCTTTTGCACAGAGAAACACTCTTCAGCCAAATCTTAGGTTTATATACGTCAATCATGTGATATTTCTGTCCTGGAAGCCATGGGTGACTTTACTACATTACTGTTGAGAACAGTATAACTGTTTTTATTTTCAGACAATCCTACTGTAAACTATCAAACATGAAAGTACTGTAACGACAGCGGAAACCACGTGACGCTGGCAACACGTAATGAGTTCTAGAAAGATCAGGGAACATCACCAATAATCCAATATCTGCTAGGCGCCCTCTATTCTTGTATATAAGTGCGCCAGACAATGAATCGGGGATAGAACTGCAAACAGGCAGAGATAGAGACAGACAATTGAGTCAAGCGCGGTAAAGTGTGTGAATCGTTCGTTGTGAATTATAGCGTGTGTTTAAGTTAAACTGATTGCGGAAATTAAGTGTATTGCAAAGTTGTATTGAGAAAGAATAAAATAGTTTTATTTAAGAAAGAAATTGTATTGCTGAAGTTTTTCGGAAGGAATTTTTACGGGAAAATAACAAACGACCAGAGACGTAACAAACTGGTGTCAGAGAGTGGGACTGAAAAGAAAAAGAAGATGGAAACGAGAAGTGGCAAATC